TCCTCCATGAGCTCATCTGACCATGCTTGGCCCTACCTTGCAATTCAGGTTGCTCCATTCCCTACAGAGCACTATCATTTTTCATTATAGGTGGTACCATTTCCATTTTGAGGTATGTTGTAGTCAGGGTTTACAAGAGAATAGATTTAATACAGGACACATAATTTATAGGATTATTTTATAATATTCACCCAAAAAGTCAAATGTAGAAGAGTGCAAGAGTTGTCCATACACTAGAGACCCAGATAATCCAGATGAGGGTCTGGATCCCATGGCAATGTCTTGCACAAGTCCAGCTGAAGACCTAGAACAAATGGCAATGTCTCATACAAGTCTGTATCAAGGATCTACACTGGGACAGCCCAAAGGTCAGTGATGGAAGCTAGAAAATCTGCACCAGTGGGATGAAGGATCTGTATCAGTAGGCTGAGGGGTCTGCACTGGAGCCAGAAAGTGATGCTCAAGGTAAGGACCAGCGCTCCCTTGAAGAGAATGGCAGCCATCCTTGGTGACAGCAAGGACCCAAGCTCCTCCAATGATGAGAACTGCTGAGTTCATATCAGGAAAACCAGCATGGAAAACTTCTTCAGCAGAACCAACAGCACACCATCTTCCCCTCCAGTTCTCCTTTTATGCTCCTTTCATCCTCAGGTGGGCCTTCCACCCCCAGTACCATGCTGACTCAGTTCAGCTGGGTGTGACAAGTTGCTCATTAGGTAATCTGCCACAATGTAAAAGAGCTCAGACAAGCTCTTCAGGTTGCTTTCTTAACTCCACTCTCATCTATCTGTACAATAAGTCCCTGAATTAAAAATATTTGAGTTGCAAACTTTCACGGGTGTACTGTTAAGACTCACTTTGTTGATGTACAAGCAAATCTGACTTACCAACAGTTCTCCTTGAACACAACTCATTTGTAAGTCAGAAACTTATTGCATAGCCTTAGCAAAGTCACCGGTTTAATCTTATTAATGTAAATCACTAACCTAGGCTCTACATGGAATTAAAACCTAACCATAGAAGTAGGGCCTACAATACAGATTAGGGAGTAGTTTGATAAATAACACTGATACTGGCCTGAGGGACGCCAAGGAGGCTTAGAAGAGGAAGGATCAAATTCCTCTTGGAGAATCTCAGAGGTGGTGTCATAGGGGATGTGGCCTCTGACCTGGACATTGAGAGACCAGTGTGACTGAGCTAGTGCTCTGGCAGGAGGAGGTAGAGAGACAATGTGTGCAGAAGCAACATCGTGAGCTGGACTTGGGCAAAGGGATGGCATACAAGACCCCAAGCAGCAAGTGACTCAGCTTTGCTGAAGCCTAGGATTTCTTGGAGAGTCCACTCTAGACAGATGAAGTTTCAGGACTGTCTAGCGCTGCCCTCAAAGCTGAGACTTCAATGGAGAAGCCACAGAAATGTTCTGGAACTATTTTAATATGGAGATGCTTAAAAACAAGAGGATGTCTGTGGGCAAGGTTCCCCAGCTGACTCAGGAGCTTTGGCTTTTGCTCTGGAAAGGAAGGCCAACAGGTACCTGGCGACCATGCAGTCCCAGAGTATTGCATCAGTCAAGATGGGTGCTTGATCAATAAAACTTTCTTGCCGTAATTCCAGTCCTTGTTCTTCCATGGTGCTGTCCTTAAGGGATGTAAAGGATAGCAACAATTCAGGAAGAAAGACCCATACTTGAAATATAAAGCTATATCTTTTACCTGGAAATGGAAGTCATGGATTTTTGCGTTTGTTACTTTTTTTAATTTTCTTTTTAGAGAGGAAATAAAATATAACCTTATGCCTGTAATGATTTGTGAACAGCATGGGATGATACACACATGAGAAAATATTCTGCAGATCATTGATCCACATTAAGCATTCTTTCACCAGTCAAGAAGGCATCGTGCACATTGCAAGATTGCAGAGATGCATTTCTCTCATGGGCAGATCAACAGGGAATTTGTTCTGAGGATAGTTTTTTTCTCTCCCATCTTTTCCCACTAATGTACTTTATCAGATCAAGTACAGCAAAACAAGAGGGGCCCAGATGTGCACCAGCGGAACCTCATTTTACTGAAGTTTCATTTGTCAAAATAGAGAAATCATCTGGTTCCTGCAGGAGTAAAAGAAGCTCGACCTTCTCTCTCCAGTCATTGTCCTCATTCATATCTCCTCATCTTGCCCCTCCCTTCACTGCCTATTATATAAGCAAGGATGAGCTGCTTTCACCTCCCACCCTATATCGTTTCTGGTGGTTACTGTGCCTTAGCACCAGTGTTAGAGGACGTGCTGGAGCTGGGGGCATTCACTGATAGCAGAGGGATGGGCTGCTGCTCACAGGCAATGCAATGCCCTGTGCAGAGGCTCCCCTGCCAAGAAGCAGTCTGTGGCCCAGCAGCAGGAACATCCCACAGGTGCTAGAGCAAGACTCAGACTCCCAGCCCCACCCCAGTCCTGGTTCCTGTCTGCACCTCAGAAGGGCACCTCAGCTTGATTCATGCACACAAGTCCAAGAAACTTTGCCTAGTGCATGTGCTTTGGAACAGGACAGCTGGAGCTGGAGTCCTGGGCTCTAGCATGGGCTCAGCGTGAGACCTGACTTTCCTCATCTTCAGATGGGAATGACAATGGCCTCTGCATGACAACCGTTGAGGAAGTGTAAAATGTGCGTAGTGTGCTGGGCATGAGACCTGACATGAACTAAGCCCCTGCAAGGAAGACAGCAATGAAGTCATCATGACTACTCAGAGAGACTCTCAGGGGGAGGGTGTGAGGGTGCAGCGAGCTTTTATCCAGGGGGATCTGTCTGGTCAGCAGAAGGGCTAGAAACAATAGGCACTGCCAATGTGCTCCTCTCCACTTCGGGCAGGAAAGGTTTCCTTAAAAAACCAAGAAACCTAAGGTATACTGCCTATGGAAAAGAAGCACTATACAGGGTTTTCTACCTCTGTGCAGAAGCAGGAATGTGAGTAGGTACACTCAGCCCTCTGCATGCATGAATTCCACCAAATGCGGATCAGAGATATTTGGGGGAAAAGACTGCAACTGTACTGAATGTGAGCAGCATTTTTCCTTGTCAAGATCCCTTGAACAATGCAGTGTCACCATTTATTTACTTTGTATCAGGTCCCATAAGTTATCTAGAGATGACTTGAAGTATATGGGAGCATGTAAATAAGTTACACACAAATACTATGCAGTTCTGTTGTAGGCAGATTTGAGTACCTGAGCAAGGTCCTGGCACTAATGTCCTGAAGATAAGAGATATGATCAAAACCATAGTGAATGTTTAATTTGTTAATTTATTACGATAAATTAATCATTAATTGTCATTAATCCTCCTCAAAATACTCCATTAATTATCATTGTCATTAATCCTCCTCAAAATACTCCCTCTCACTTCGAACATGCTTATGTCATTGTTTTTGCCACTTTGTGAAGCAGTTCTGAGTGTCTTTAGTTGTACTGTCATGGCTGCCTCAGTGTCCTGAGTCAATTCAAATTGTTTACCTTTCATGGTCATTTTGACTTTGGGGAAAAGTTAGAAGTCACAAGATGCAAGTTCCAGTGAATAAGGTGGACAAGACACATCATCATGTTTTTAGGAGCTGCCTTCTCATTGGACGGCACTCGCAACAGCATATTTTTAATCACACTTCATAAAGATGCTCACGGGAGAGGACTCTAAGAGCTGTTTCATAAAGTGACAAAAAAGATGGGACAGTTGTGTTTGAAGTAAAGGACAGTATTTTAAGAAGGATTATTGGTAATACATCTTTTACTATAATAATTTTTAAAGTTTTTCCAATTTTTTTTGTCAGTGCATGTTTGCAGTACATGATTATCCTCCTGATGGGGAGTTGGTGCCTGTGCATAATATATCTTAATTATTTTTTAATCCTATTCCTCTCTTTCCTCCCCTCTCTCTTCATCTGTTGGTCCCCTTTCCTTTTAGAAAAGATCTATCTTACTATTTCCTATTATCTCTCTTTTATTTTGCTCTTTATATTTAAGGTTCCTCATATAAGAGAAACCATGCAACATTTAAATTTGTGTGTTGATTTGTTTCATTCAACATTATGGTCTCAAAGTGCAGCTATTGTCCTACAAATGATTCAACTTTATCCTTCCTTATGGCAGAGCAGTACTCCACTGTACATGAGTACACTTTCTTTATCCATTCATCTGTTGGTGGACATACAGACTGCTTCAAAAGATTTATATTATCTTTTCTATTTTGAAAAAGGACTCATGGGAATCATTTGTCTCATATGACTTCTTTTTATCCCACCAAAATCCTTGGCCTCTCTTGATTAAGTGTACCTTTTCTGTGTTTTTTTCCTGTTTTTAGTGGTGCTGGAGAGCAAACCCTGTGCATACTAAGCATGTGCTCCACTGCTGAGCTACACTACAACCAAGTCCTTGTGTATTTCTTCTGTTCTGATTTGGGAAGAAGTCTCACTGTTGCTCTGGCTACGGTCAAACTCCTAAATTCATATCATCTTCCTGCTTCAGTTCCCCATGTAGCTGAGACTACAGGTGAACAACACCATGCCTAGTTTTAAATGTATGCTTTTAATCTTGTGTTTCCATTTTTGCCTACTTTCCATGAATTTCAGAACTGAATTTGTTTCTATTTCATAATTATGGAGCACTCCAATGTATGCATTGACATCTAATAACTTCTCAGATTATTTAACACTTATTTTCCTCCTTGGTTTCTTCCCCTTAATTTTTCACGCTTAACTACACTGAGGTTGTTTTTGTATGTTTGTTCTTGTGGTTGCTTTTCTGGTACTGGAGACTGAACGCAGAGTACTGAGCTACATCTCCAACCCTTTTATTTTATGTCTTTTATTTTGAGACAGGGTCTTGGTAAGTTGCCTAGACTGGGCTTTTACTTATAATTCTCCTGCTTCAGCCTCCCAGAGTCTAAGAATTACATGCATGCATCATCATGTCTGGCATAAATAATAGACTATTTAAACAGCAATGTTTCAGAAATATCAGGTTTATAGAAAAACTTGAACAGAAAGTATCAGGACTTTCCATACAGTCTCTCCCTCCCCTGTGCAGAGCACTTCATGGTTAACCTCTTGTCCTATATTGGTCCATCAGTTACAAATGGTGAGCTGATATCACTCCACCATAATTATTAAATAAGGTTCACATTTTTATTTTAGGGTTCATTCTTGGTATTGTATACCCTGAGGGTTGTAACAGATGCATAATTCTGTGTATCTACAAGTATATCATTCATTATTCTTTCATGCCCCTGGAAACATCCCTTGGGGTCCACTGTTAACACAGTCTTCACTGTAACACCCCACGTGGAATTACATAAGGAAAAGGACAGGGAGAGATCATACCATTTAATCCTATCATCTTATTTTTAAACCATTCAAACAACCATAACAGTTTTTTAAAAACGATGTAATGGACTCCAATACATCTTCTGCTTAAATTTAATGCTTGTTGGGTTTGCAATATAACTCAGTGATCCAGCCTTGCTCAACATGTACAAGACCCAGCAATGGTTAACATGTTGCCAGTTTTACTATTTATTATTTATTTTTGTTCTTTATTCTGCTTACTTTATCTTTTCAGAACTACTTACAGGTAAATCGCAGACATCTGGACATTGGATTTCTAAGCGCATCCGTGCACGTGCTGTAGGACCCGTGAGATTCTCTAACACAATCTCAGCATTGTAACTGCATGTAGGGAGGCTAACAGTCACTTTACACTATCGAACAATAGCAGCAAACGTCTGCGTTTCCCTGATTGTCTCAAGAATGCCTTTCATAACTGCTGTGTCTTGCTGAACCAGAAATTCTTAAAAATTCATCTTTTGCATTTGTGGTTGATTTTTAGTTGCTTTTTATCAAGAACAGTCCCTTCATTCCTTTCCTCCCTCCCTTCCTCCCTTTCTCTTTCTCCATTTCTTTCTTTTTTCCTTCTTTCTTTCTTGCTTCCTTGTTTCATTTCTTTCTTCTGATGGTGGGGGCAGGAAGTGTCTTTTTATGCTGCCCAAGGTGGCCTGGAACTCAGGGCCTCCTGCATAGCAAGAGCTACAGGCATGGCTGTGTGGATGGCTTTGTTCTTTAAAGAAATTTTTTTGTAGTGCTGGGAATTGCACCAAGGGCTTCTCGCATGCTAGGCAAGCACTCTGCCCACTGAGCCACACCCAGCCGAGATACTGACATTTTTTAAACTTGCAAAGAATACAAGTACCATAAAAGTCACCATCTTAGCTTTTTTGTTGTCATTTATTTAATATAGGATTTTGCTATGTAGTTCAGGCTGGTCTCAAACTTACTCTGCACCCCAGGCTATATTTAAACTTGTGGCGATCATCCTGCCTCGGCCTCTCGAGTGCCAGGATTGCAGGCATGCACCACCATGCTCAGCTCATTTAAACCATTTTTAAAGGTACAATTTGGTGGCATTAGGTACATTCGTAATGTTGTGCAACTGTCACCACTACTTCCATCTTGCAGAACTGAAATCCATACCTATTGAACAATAACTCCCATTTCTCACTCCCACCCTTAGCTCCTGGCAATTGCCATTCTACTTTCTGAATGACATTAACTTTTACAAGAATCAGAACAGCTGTTTTAAACAAAAGTCCCACCTTCTGTATGGTATCTGTCAGATCACTTCCCCCTGGTGTTGCTAGTCTCCTTCTCTGTCTTTCCTGGAAAGTGGCAGCTATTCTAGAGGCTGGACTGGATCCAGGGGAACAGTTTTGGACAAGGACACCTCGTAGGTGTTTTGGTTCCTCATCATGTCACATCAGGAAGGTGTAGGGCATTATATGCTATAATACTGGGGGGGGGTCTTAAGGCTCTGGAAGGTCTTACATGGACCTGAGTTCAATGAATTCTCTTCTGCAGTCCCAACCTAAAGGGTCTCCAAACAGAGGTTGCACCATTTCTGTTGGTGTCTCCAGGATGCTGAATTTTCTCCCAGTCCTTGTCTTCTGCCTTTGAAACCAACACTGGGACTGGGGATGGAGGTCAGTGATAGGGCCTCACCTAGCATGCATGAGCAGCTGGCTTTGGTCCCAGCAGGCTTCAGTGGGTTCAGTCCATGATTCACTGGCTCCAAGGTAGAAATGGTGTGGTGGAGAACAGCTGTTCACTGCCAAATGGCCAGGAAGCAGAGCAATAACCTTTTAAACTTTAACATTCCCTATATGTATTTCAATCATGCCAAGGGACAACTACTTATATTCATGTGTAGCTACAAATACCTTTTAAAATTTTATCACAAAGCACTTCCTCATAAAAAGACTCAGTTATTACATCTTGTGGTAGAAAAAGACATTGTATCTAGGTGTACTAGGTTTGGATCAATGCAAGCTCCCCTCTTACTTCCTATTTTTGGCATCTAACCTGTCTGAACTCGTTCCTTGTTTGTGTTGTAAGAACCACATGTATTTCTGGAACTAGGTTTTACTATTCAGCTGCGATCCGGACTGAGATAGGGCTTTTGACCCAGAATAAAGCCCTCTGCAACACCACTGCTTCCAGTACCTTCTGACCCCAGCATAAAACATTTGAAACTAGTACTAACTACCCCTTCACTACTCCAAGACATCCATCTGTCCTCAGCCGAGAACTTGGGTCTCAGCATCCAAGGCTGGCCATGAGGTGTGCTGCATCCTAGAGACTTGCAGTTCTGTGGATTTGCAGTGTGCTGCTCCAGCAGTACCTGTGGTGCTCAGAGCTTTATGAGGTTACTCAGAGGAAAAATCTCTCTGCTTTGCTGTATGTACAGATACAATGCCCTTTCCCATCTACAGAAAGCAAAAGGTCCCAGAGTAAATCATGGGAGAAACACCAAATCTAGAGCTTAGTGGGTGTTTAAGGTCTCTAGGACCTACATTGGTATTTCTTCCTCTTAAGATGATCAGGGGTTACCCAAGACCACTCAGCTAGCAAGGGGCTGGACCTGAGTATGTGTCCCAACTGCAGCCCAGCTCTTACTCACTGTAGAGCACTGGCCTGCCCTTCACCTTGTGCCCTCTGCTCCTAGCAGTTTAGGATTCTGTGTTAAGGCGCATTCTGAAAAAAGTCACCAGCAGAGATGGGAAAGGAGAGCGTACTCACAGACAGGAAACACAGAATGGGTTTGTGAGGGCACTGCTCCCTTTCAAGGCCAAGCTACAGGGAGCTCAGGATGACAGAGTGTGCACATCCTGTTGATCCTCCTCTTCCTCCTCAGCCATTTTTTGTCTTGATATAAGGGTTCCTCTGGTTGTATAACCCTTCCATCCGTGCTGACCATAGGTTTCACACCTCTTGACGCCTCTTCTTCTCTCGGCAAAAATCACCCCCACGCATCAGCAATCCTTACTGTTTTAAGATTTCCATCAGACTCTGTCATAAGTGTGGTTGCTCACCTCTGCACACCCTCACTTGGAGAATACATTTCAAAGTGCCTTGCACAGACCCTGGTACACACCCTGATACATATACACACATCTTGACCTGAGCCAGCCAGTGTTAACACTCTTCTCAAACCCCATGACCAAGTTATTTCAGAGTAGCGGGAGCTTCAAAGTGATTCTTCTTCTGCCAGGCTTTTGTGTTAGAGGAAGACGTATTCTCCATGAAATTTCCACTCCATTTCATTCAGTTTCCTTTGAGACTGCAAGGTGAAGAAATTAGGTTAGAGAGAAGGAAGACTACTTCAGAGAGGAAAAAGTTTTCAGACCTAGAATGGCTATTGGGTTAGTGCTGTTCCTTTTTTTCTGGCTTTTACAAAAAATGGATCAGCCTCAGTCCTACAGCACTGTGGACAGCCGTGCCAGGGGACAAGTGGCCAGAGCAGATGAACTTTGGGCTTCCCCTCCCCTCTTAAGAATGACCAAGATTGCATCAAGCAATCATCATTTACAGCATGAATTTCCAACAAAGCAGAAAGAGAAGAAAATTAAGCACATGGCAAGAAAAAAGAAAAAGCTACCCAAAGGAACAAACCTCATCAAGAATCTGCAAAACAAAGAGTGTGTGCAGCCTCATCAGACACGCAGACTACAGCGCTTCGCGTTTTCTTTATATTGTTCTTTCTTCTGAGAGACTCTGCACCACCCACAGGCACCGGCTCATTTATCTCCCTGAGATTGTGTTTTATTATGGGAAGGACATTTTAAGGGAGATTCACAAATAAGAGGATCCAAGAGACACACCTCCAAATCATCCCACCCTTGCTCCCAGCTCATTGGGATTTTATAGCATCATCTTTTTCAATCCAATACTGATAGCAAGGAAATGAGCATAAATTTCTTTGTTTTTTGCCCTAGTTTTCCTATCACTGAGAATTTTCCTGAGTGGCCCTGGTTCCAAAATTGGTTCCATTAGACTGTGTTTAACAGCATTTATGCTAGTCTCAAACAAATGCACAATACCCGCAGCTACAGAATACGGGTTGTAGTAGTTTCCATGCTAAACATGAGCATTTGTAGGGTGGAAGTCCGGGAAGGAGTGGGTCCCATCTGGAACCAATTCTGCTTCAATTTAAAGAAGATCAAACTGCCTATGTCCTGTGGCAGAAGATTACTGAGAAGTCCAAGTGATTCCTTCCATATGACCTATACTGTTTCTTGGATATTTCCCGAGATACACACACACAAAGCCACTTGAGTTCTGCCGGGGGTGACTACATGAGAGAATGTGACATTCAGCCTGTGTCCATCACCCACTTACTGCCATGCCTCAAGGTTTGCCCCTAAAAATTCTTCCTTCTAAAATGTAATCATGGAATGTTCAAAACGTGCAAAAAAGGTAAGAAAATAGTATAATAAACCCTGAAATTAAACAGATGCTAACATTTTGCCATGTCTGCAGTGTTAAGGATTGAGCCTAGAGCCTGACGCATGAACTGTCTGCCACCAGCTTGCACCTCCACCCTCTGCCCTCAGATCTTTCTCTTAAAACAAGAGCCATTGACTTCTGCAGAATCTACACTGCTTACCTCCTTCCTGTCTCTCTCTCCCAGGGTTGTCACAATCCTGGAAGGTTTCTATCACTCCTCAGCATGTTTGTATGTTTTGTCCATATTCTGATATCATGGTGTACATATCTACTTGCAACTTGTTTTTCTGAACTTAACGTGCTTTGTTTATTGAGATTTGTGTGTGGTGATACAAGCTGATCCCATTGGTTTCTTCCAGTTGCCGTGGATGTCCAGTTCATAGACAAACCACAGTTTAATCACCATTTGTTGTTGATTAGACATAAATGCTAGTTGTTTTGTGTACTGATCTTATATCAGGTATTCTCAATTAATTTTTATTATTTTTAATATTTGGTGTATATTTGGATTTTCTGCATTGACAGCTGTTTTATCTATGATAATGATAGACTTTTTTCTTCCTTTCCAGTTATTATTATTCTTTTCCTTTTATTATTTTTCATACAAGTACCATGTTGAATAGAAGTAACAATAGGCATCCCAGTCTTGTTTCTGATTTTTAAAACAATTTTTCTCAGATTGTACTGTATATATTAGTGGGTTTTTTTTGTTGTTTTTTTTTTTTTGAGACCAGGTCTCACTATGTAGTTCAGGCTGGCCTTGAACTCACTGTGTATGCCAGACTGGCCTCAAACTCCTAGTGATCCTCTTGCCTCAGCCTCCCAAGTGCTAGGGTTACAGGCATGTGCCACTGTACCCAGCAAGATCATACTGTTAAGTAAGATTTTGCTGTGGAATTTTGGTGGACATTCTCTATCAGATTACAGAAATTTTCTTCAATTCTCAATTTATTAAGATTTCTTTATTAATCAACAATGAGTGTTGAATTTTAAAATACTATTTTTATATCTCTAAGATGATAATATACTATTACTCTAGTTTATTAACATAGTAAGTTGAATTAACAATATTTTCAATTAACTATTCTTAAATTCCTGGGATATATTCAACATGATTACAATGTATTTTTCTAATGCATTGATGGACTTGGCTTAAGAATATTTTATTTAGGTTATTTGCATGTATTTATGAAATTGGGCCCTATTTGCCTACTTTACAACTTACATAATTTTGCTATTAAGATTAATAATTTCCCTCTTTGTTCCGTGAAGAGGTTAGTAGAAGACAAGAGTTGTTTGTTCCTTAAATATTTGCTGTAATTCATTATAAAACTATCTGAGCACAGGATTTTATTGTTATTTATTTCATAGGGAATTTTTAAACTATGGATGTATTTTCATTAATAGTTTTAGGTCTATTCTTGTGGTCCTTTCAGTCACTCAGTCCTGATAAGTTGTATTTCATCTAGGTTTTCAAGTATATCCAAAGTCAGTGTAGTTATCTCATGATTTTTAAGCCTATGCTATAAAAGGAATTCTCAGCTTTCATTCCTGCTGTTTTGTTTCTACATGCTTTTTTACTTCATCAACATTGCCTATGGATTTTCTATTTTATTACTCATCTCAAAGAGCCAGCTCTCTTAGCTATTTCTTCTTACTTTTTTCTTTCTTTATTAATTTTGCTCCAATATTTATTTGCTTTTTCTGCTTCCAGTAGATTAGACCACTGTTCTTTTATAACCTTTGGAGTTAGGTTTTTAGTTCATTAATTTCAACATTTAAAAAAATTTTAATAGCTATCACTGGTAACATGCAAGGAAATCCCAGGGAATATGTGCACTTTAAAAATGTGTAGTACCTATATACTTAATAAAATGCATTTTAGAAAGAAAAAAATATATCTTAGAAAGGAATATAATAACTAATATATAAGAAGACAAAAATCCATCAATTTTTGATTGGAAATATTCCATGGAATATTGACTTTCAAAAGAAAGTCAATCAATTTTTTAAAAGTGAAAATCATAGTGAAGTTGACCACTGTTCCATATTTATTTGAAAAGGCTGAATTCTCTAATGAAGTAAAAATTCTAACATTATATATTGGGCAAAAGTTATTAATAGAGTTCAAATCTCTGAGCTATTTGTTTATTTTTTTTTTGCCTGCTCAATCCATTCATCTTTAGAAAGGTGTGTAAAATTTTCCATACTTCTTTATGGTGCTGGTGACAGTTGTATGACGCAGTTTTAGCGTGAATTTTTATGTGAAGTACAGCTCAGAGTTTCTATATGCTACTCATGAATTATTCCTTTTGTAATTAAAAGACAACTTCTATAAAATGTCTTTTTCTTAACTCTTTTTGCGGGGCTAGTTAGTATTTATATGGCCACCCTACTTTTCTTTTACTTATTATTTGCTTGGCATGTAGTTTTTCCATGCCTTTCTTTTCAACTTTAATCTGTCATTAATACCCTTTCCATTACCTCAGACTTTTTTTCTGATTCATTCCTCTCTACTAGGTCTTTCATAGTCTTGGGTCCTGTACATCAAAACACCTAGACCAAATCTAGAAGCTTTGAGAGCCATTTGGATGCAGGCTACAAGCCCTGAGCTGCACTGGATGCTGGCCATCAGACAGCAGAGCTCGCAGACTCCTGCCAGCCCAGGGTGTGCACATACAGCTAGTGTTTAGTGGCCAAACCAGGCCCAGGAAGGCACTGCGCTAGAGCTCTAGCACACGCAGTTCTTCTGCCTTCTGATATTTATAGCTCCATGTAGGTGGGGATGATGCTCCTTGGAACAGAAAGAGAAGGTCTCAGCCCTAGAGAGCCAACATAAACCACTGTGTGACTGATTGAGTTCCTTCCCCTAGAGGATGTTCGGGAGCTTGTCACCCAGTTCTTGGGCACAGTGGTGGGATGAATGCAGCACATCTCAGGCAACAAGCCCCGCAGAAGCTAGAGATCCACTTATAAAACATCCTCAGACTTTTTCCTTTACACATTGCTCTTTGTGTAAAGAGTGAGCAGAAATGTTTGCTTTGGTTTTTCCACAAGATCCAGGCAACATGGAAGATCCCTGAGGGTCCTCACAAACCCTGCCTTCCTTCTCAGATCCCCCAAATAGAAGTGAGTGTTCGTTAGGACAGGAAATGTATGTCCCGAGGAACAAAGGGGGAGTGCCTGGCCCTCAGTGGGAGGAGAGAACAGTGGCTTCACTTCATAGAGGTGAGCCAGACATCAGTTTCCAGCTGTGGGTCTTAGAAAACACATCTTAGGGAGTGGGACCCCACACTTCTAGTCCTGGAGTGACCGTTTCCTTTATCTGGACCTTCATTTTCTCTGTAAAACAGTAGAAATACCCAAGATCAGACTTCTCTAAAGTTCACTCATTACATATGGTTTTGACACTTTTTGGCTGTATTCATGTGCCACTTTAATATTATTGACATTCTTCTTTACATTGACTTGGATTTACTTACTACTTGCCTTGTCTTAACAGATTTGTCTAATAGTTGTATAATTCTAACACACATTTAATTGATCTGTAATATGTAACTGATATGTCATTGATGAGAACTATTCACTTTTTTAAGTCCTTAGACCTCCTGGAATCTCCTTACACATTCTCAGGGATACAATATAAGATGCGTGGAATCTTTGGATAATCTCTAAAGTCCCATCCAGTTCCAAAGAGTTTAAGTTTCCATGAAGTAAGCTTGAACCTACACCTTCAAGGTCCCAAAGAAGTCAGGCAGGAGGAAGAGAAGGGGAACATGGAGTGTTGAGCCCCAAGATCTAGATGGTTCTCTGCTTCTCCAGTTCATCTTTTTG